TGTGTGTGTTTGTTAGTGAGTGTGTGTAAGAGAGAGTATAAATGAGTGTGTGTGCATGCACGTGTTCATGCATGTGTGTATGCATGTGTTCACTTGTGCGAGTGTGTGTGAGTGTATGTGTGTGCGCATGAGGGTGAGTAAGTGAGTGAGTGTGTGTATTAGTGTGAGTACGTATCTTAGTGTGTGTGTGTGTTTGTGTTTGCTACTGTGAGTGTGTCTGTGAGAGAGAGAGTGTGAGTTTTTGTGATCATCTGTGCTTGTGTGTGTTTTGAGTGTGCGTGCATGTGTGTCTTAATAATGGACAGTGTGTGTATTAGTGCACATAAATAATATTAGTGCGTATGATTAGTATTAATGCACATAAATGATTATTGCAGATGAATAATATTAGTGCACATGAGTAATAATTTTGCACATGAATAATATTAGTGCACATGAATAATATTATTGCACATGAATAATCATATTGCATATGAATAATATTAGTGCATATTAATAATATTAGTGCACATAAATAATATTAATGCAAATGAATAATATTATTGCACATTAATAATATGAGTGCACATGAATAATATTAATGCACGTGAATAATAATATTGCACATGAATAATATTAGTGCACATGAATAATATTAATGCACGTGAATAATTATTGCACATGAATAATATTAGTGCACATGAATAATATTAATGCAAATGAATAATATTATTGCACATTANNTATATTAGTGCACATGAATAATAATATTGCACATGAATATTATTAGTGCACATGAATAATAATTTTGCACATGAATAATAATATTGCACATGAATAATATTAGTGCACATGAATAATAATATTGCACATGAATAATAATATTGCACATGAATAATAATATTGCACATGAATAATATTAGTGCACATGAATAATAATATTGCATATGAATAATATTAGTGCACATGAATAATAATATTGCACATGAATAATATTAGTGAACATGAATAATAATATTGCACATGAATAATATTAGTGCACATGAATAATAATATTGCACATGAATAATATTAGTGAACATGAATAATAATTTTGCACATGAATAATAATATTGCACATGAATAATATTAGTGCACATGAATAATAATATTGCACATGAATAATAATATTGCACATGAATAATAATATTGCACATGAATAATATTAGTGCACATGAATAATAATATTGCATATGAATAATATTAGTGCACATGAATAATAATATTGCACATGAATAATATTAGTGAACATGAATAATAATATTGCACATGAATAATATTAGTGCACATGAATAATAATATTGCACATGAATAATATTAGTGAACATGAATAATAATATTGCACATGAATAATATTAGTGCACATGAATAATAATATTGCACATAAATAATAATATTGCACATGAATAATATTAGTGCACATGAATAATAATATTGCACATTAATAACATTAGTAAACATGAATAATTTTAGTGCACATGAATAATATTAGTAAACATGAATAATAATATTGCACATTAATAATAATATTGCACATGAATAATAATATTGCAAATGAATAATATTAGTAAACATGAATAATATTAGTGCACATGAATAATATTAGTAAACATTAATAATAATATTGCACATTAATAATAATATTGCACATGAATAATAATATTGCAAATGAATAATATTAGTAAACATGAATAATATTAGTGCACATGAATAATAATATTGCACATGAATAATAATATTGCACATGAATGATATCGGTGCACATGAGTAATAATATTGCACATGAATAATATTAGTGCACATGAATAATATTAATGCACGTGAATAATTATTGCACATGAATAATATTAGTGCACATGAATAATATTAATGCAAATGAATAATATTATTGCACATTAATAATATTAGTGCACATGAATAATAATATTGCACATGAATAATATTAGTGCACATTAATAATATTAGTGCATATGAATAATATTAATGCACATAAATAATTATTGCATATGAATAATATTAGTGCACATGAATAATAATTTTGCACATGAATAATATTAGTGCACATGAATAATATTATTGCACATGAATAATCATATTGCATATGAATAATATTAGTGCATATTAATAATATTAGTGCACATAAATAATATTAATGCAAATGAATAATATTATTGCACATTAATAATATGAGTGCACATGAATAATATTAGTGAACATGAATAATAATATTGCACATGAATAATATTAGTGCACATGAATAATAATATTGCATATGAATAATATTAGTGCACATGAATAATATTAGTGCACATGAATAATATTAGTGAACATGAATAATAATATTGCACATGAATAATATTAGTGCACATGAATAATATTAGTAAACATGAATAATAATATTGCACATTAATAATAATATTGCACATGAATAATAATATTGCAAATGAATAATATTAGTAAACATGAATAATATTAGTGCATATGAATAATAATATTGCACATGAATAATAATATTGCACATGAATGATATCGGTGCACATGAGTAATAATATTGCACATGAATAATATTAGTGCACATGAATAATATTAATGCACGTGAATAATTATTGTGCACATGAATAATATTAGTGCAAATGAATAATATTATTGCACATTAATAATATTAGTGCACATGAATAATAATATTGCAAATGAATAATAATATTGCACATGAATAATATTAGTGCACATGAATAATAATATTGCATATGAATAATATTAGTGCCGTTAATAATATTAGTGCACATGAATAATAATATTGCATATGAATAATATTAGTGCCGTTAATAATATTAGTGCACATGAATAATATTAGTGCACATTAATAATATTAGTGCACATGAATAATATTAATGCACGTGAATAATTATTGCACATGAATAATATTAATGCACATGAATAATATTATTGCATATGTTTAACTGAAATTAAATGTTTCAATAAGATGTTGTAAACGAATCAGATTTTTTTAAATATAAATACTGGCACTCGACAAATAGAGGACTATGCAGAAGACATCAGCAAGCAAGTCAAGGCAAAAACTACTGTAATTTCGTTATAATTTAGTTTGTTTTTACGGTATTAAGTTCATTATATTACTGTATTAGTCAATATAAAGCAGTGATTTCTAGTCATTTTTAAACATTATTAAATAAATTAGGAAATTACCTATGTAAAATATACTTACCTTCAGCCCACTAGCCTCAATCAAAATTGGTTTTTGGCTGTTCATAAAAAATTTAGGCACCCTGGTCTATGCTGACATTATCTTCAGCAGCTCAAACCTTTTAATGACTAATGGACAGACGGCTGCTTCTCACTCAGGCCTGCTGGTTATGCTAATGAGATGGAGAAATGGGCACTAGTGGGCGGAGCTTTTCCCCTCTGATGACACGTACATAGGGAGAATGTCAATCACAGGGTTTCTGGAAACTGTTTTGATAAAGTCTGATTATAACAAACACAATTAACTCATGCTCATTATCAGAGGCTAGAGATATTCACACACTGCTGACACACAACTGGCTTTAAATTGTGATTTTTGCATAATAGGTGCCCTAAAAAGTAATTTTAGCTTTATCAAAAAAAATTCTGTCCTAAAACTAACCCCACCTGGAAGTCGTCGTAATGGGCCGTCAGCGAGTACGTTTTCTCCATGCTGACCGACGCCTGCGTACGAGACTTGTTGGGGAAAGTGTGAAACATGAGGTCACGACAGCAGACGAAAGAGGGTCAAAATGAGGTCATGACCTTTGACCTTCTCAGCTCTGAGATCAAAGGTTTCCTCCAGCCTGTGTCTGTCTGCGGTTTGCTTTGATCTGTTACGAAAGATGAAGGAAGAGTTTAATGAAGCGTAATATACAACACAAACAGACAATATAGCACTGCAGACTATTATATGTGCTCATAAAGTCAAACTTTAAGGTTTAAATTTGTTGGAAGAAACATCTAGATCTCGTAATGCAATTCAAACGCAGAAATGAACAGAGAAAAATAAACAATAAAATCATGAATATGGAAAACTGCTAATTTACGGATGTTTTCACAGTGTAATAGAGGCATTTTCATCTCACTCTTAGTAAGAAAATGCTGTCAGAAAAGAACATGAGGAATTTAAAGGGAGAGTTCACTCAAAAAATACAAATTCTGCCAAAATGTACTTGTTATAAATTATGTATTGTTTTAACTGGGTTAAAGAAAAATGAGTTATTTATCAGCTAATATATATCGGTTATTTATCAGACAAGAGTTATCGGTTATTTATTGGCTAATATATCCGTTATTTATCGGCTAAGAGTTATGGGTTATTTATTGGCTAATATATCGGTTATTTATCAGCCAAGAGTTAACAGTTATTTATTGGCTAAGAGTTATGGTTTATTTATTGGCTAATATATCGGTTATTTATCGGCTAAGAGTTATGGTTTATTTATTGGCTAATATATCGGTTATTTATCGTCTAAGAGTTATGGGCTATTTATTGGCTAATATATCGGTTATTTATCGGCTAAGAGTTATGGTTTATTTATTATTGGCTAATATATTGATTATTTATCAGCTGAGAGTTATGGTTTATTTATTGGCTAATATATCGGTTATTTATCGGCTAAGAGTTATGGTTTATTTATTATTGGCTAATATATCGATTATTTATCAGCTGAGAGTTATGGTTTATTTATTGGCTAATATATCGGTTATTTATCGGCTAAGAGTTATGGTTTATTTATTGGCTAATATATCGGTTATTTATAGGCTAAGAGTTATGGGCTATTTATTGGCTAATATATCGGTTATTTATCGGCTAAGAGTTATGGTTTATTTATTATTGGCTAATATATCGATTATTTATTAGCTGAGAGTTATGGTTTATTTATTGGCTAATATATCGCTCATTTATCGGCTAAGAGTTATTGTTTATTTATTGGCTAATATATCAGTTATTTATCGGCTAAGAGTTATGGGCTATTTATTGATTGATATATCGTTATTTATCAGCCAAGAGTTAACGGTTATTTATTATTGGCTAATATATTGATTATTTATCAGCTGAGAGTTATGGTTTATTTATTGGCTAATATATCGGTTATTTATCGGCTAAGAGTTATGGTTTATTTATTATTGGCTAATATATCGATTATTTATCAGCTGAGAGTTATGGTTTATTTATTGGCTAATATATCGGTTATTTATCGGCTAAGAGTTATGGTTTATTTATTGGCTAATATATCGGTTATTTATAGGCTAAGAGTTATGGGCTATTTATTGGCTAATATATCGGTTATTTATCGGCTAAGAGTTATGGTTTATTTATTATTGGCTAATATATCGATTATTTATTAGCTGAGAGTTATGGTTTATTTATTGGCTAATATATCGGTTATTTATCGGCTAAGAGTTATGGTTTATTTATTGGCTAATATATCGGTTATTTATAGGCTAAGAGTTATGGGCTATTTATTGGCTAATATATCGGTTATTTATCGGCTAAGAGTTATGGTTTATTTATTATTGGCTAATATATCGATTATTTATTAGCTGAGAGTTATGGGCTATTTATTGGCTCATATATCGCTCATTTATCGGCTAAGAGTTATTGTTTATTTATTGGCTAATATATCAGTTATTTATCGGCTAAGAGTTATGGGCTATTTATTGATTGATATATCGTTATTTATCAGCCAAGAGTTAACGGTTATTTATTGCCTAATATATCGGTTATTTATGGGCTAAGAGTTATGGGCTATTATTGGCTAATATATAGGTTATTTATCAGCCAAGAGTTAACGGTTATTTATCGGCTAAGTGTCATGGGCTATTTATTGGCTAATATATCGGTCATTGATTATTTATTGCCTAAGAGTTATCGGTAATTTATTGACGAGTATATCGGTAATTTAACGGCAAAGAGTTAATGATTATTTATCGACTAACATATCGGTTACCGGTCATTTATCGGCCAACATATCAGTTATTGGTTATTTATCGGCTAATATATCAGTTACTTATCGGCTAAGAGTTAAGGGTTATTTATCAACTAATATATTGGTTAGCGGTTATTTATTGGCTAATCTAATGGTTATTTTAAGGCTAAAAGTTATTGGTTATTTATCGACTAACATGTAAATTATTGGTTATTTATCGGCTAATATATCTGCCATCGGTGATTTATCAGGTAAGAGTTATCAGTTATTTATTGACTAACATATCGGTTATCTGTAATTTATCGGCTAAGAGTTATTGATTATTTATCAGCTAATATATCGTTTATTGGTTATTTATCGGCTAAGTTATGTTATTTATCAACTAATATATAAATTCAGTTAATTGTCGGTTATCAGCTAAGAGTAATTGGTTATTTATTAATTATGAGTTATTGGTAATTTATCGGCTATGAGTTATTGGTTAATTATCGAATATGAGTTATCGGTTATTTATCGGTCATGAGTTATTGGTTATTTATTGAATATGAGTTATCGTTATTTATCTGTCATGAGTTATTGGTTACTTATCAGCTATGGGTTATCGGTTATTTATTGAATACGCGTTATTGGTTATTCATCGAATACGAGTTATTGGTTATTTATCGCCTATGGGTTATTGGTTATTTATCTAATATGAGTTATTGGTTATTTATCGGCGAATTATAATTTTCAGATTTATAATTTATCAGTGAATTATAATTTTCAGGATGCACTTCATTAAAAAACTGAAACTGAATATGAAAGGAGAAAAAATTACGCATAATACAATATTTTTGTATAATTTTATTAGGTTTCATGAATGTCATGTGAAATATCACATGACCAATAAAATGGTTGGATTAATATTGACCAAGCAACACACTAAAACTAATAATATTGTAAACCACGATTAAATATATTGCTCTGTATTTAGTATTCTGCAAAATAAAATTGTATTTCATTAAATAGTCATTTATATGACTGCATTTGTCAGAGGAAAAGTCATAACAATATTTTCATTTTCACTTTGTGTATTTCCCAGGAATCAAACCAAAAGCCTTGTCTGAGCTCAATAAATGCGTTTCATCATTGTACTCAACTCAGCCCTGTGCTTTTATCAAATGTTTTTCTGTTTGTGTGTGATTGGACCAATCCACATTGAAAAACAAGACCATCCGCTTTATAAGCCCTGATTAAAAAGCTTGATTAAAAACGGATCTGTCCTTTATGACGAGCTCTCGGCTCGCTGTTTTTTATTCAGCTTCTAATGCGCTTCCTAAAGTTGTTTAGATTGATTTCAGACACTCGAGCATCAGAGAAACACTGGCCAGAGACTCAAAGACCCGAATCAATGTGTGTGTGTGTGTGTGTGTATGTGTGTGTACGCGTGTGTGTGACTCTGGGGAGCAGCGTCTGATGGATAGGGAGAGCTGGAGAGTTGATGTGACTGGAGTGGCTAAGAAGAGTCTGAAGCTTAGACACATTCAAACAGGTCCTCACACACACACACACACACACACACAAACATGAACTGACACACACACATGCATGCACGCACACACGTACATGCACAGATACAAACATACATGCATGTGCACACAAAATACACAAACACTCACTCTCTCTCTCACAGACACACACACACTCTCTCTCTTAGACACACATTCATGCACACACAAAACACACACATGCACAGATGCTCACAAAAACACACACTCTCTCTCTCACAGACACACTCACAGTTGCAAACACAAACACACACACACACTAAGATACGTACTCACACTAATACACACACTCACTCACTTACTCACCCTCATGCGCACACACATACACTCACACACACTCGCACAAGTGAACACATGCATACACACATGCATGAACACGTGCATGCACACACACTCATTTATACTCTCTCTTACACACACTCACTAACAAACACACACACATGCAGGCACACACAAAACACAGACATACACAAATGCGCACACACACACACACACTTTCTGTACCTCTCTCAGACACACATACGTGTACAGATGTGCACACATACACACAAAATACACACACAAACAAACATGCATGCAGCGCACAAACTCACAGAAAGACACACACACACAGACTCTCTCTCTTTCTCTCTCTCTCCAACACACACAGACTAGACAGACACACACATGCTACCCATCAACCACACACCAGTAAACTGCATCAAGTCTGCCAGACAATGCTCACCTCCTGCAGAGAGACAAACCTGCGACCGGCTAATGGAGCTCAACACACACACACACACACACACACACACACACACACACACACACACGCGCGCGCATCTGATCCCCAAATCTGCTCAGTCTCCCAAAACATAAATATATGATTACAAACAATAGTAGCTCAGTTTCCAGTCTCATTATATCCATGTTTAAATGTTAAACCTTAATATTATTTAAAAAAATTACAGCACATTGCCATGAAACATCTTAATTTAGTTTAACTTAATAACTAAAACTATTAAAAATAATTATTAAAAGTTGTTAAGACCTAAATAAGTAAGTACTGTGAGTATGTGCAGTCATTCATTTTCCTTCGGCTAAGTCTATTTCAGGGGTCGCCACAGCGGAATAATCTACCAACTAATCCAGCATATGTTTTACCCAGCGGACTCCCTTCCAGCTGCAACCCATCACTGGGAAACCCCCATACACACTCATTCACACACACTTATACACTACAGCCAATATAGTTGATCAGTTCCCCTATAGCGCATGTGTTTGTACTGTGGGGGAAACCAGAGCACCCGGAGGAAACCCACACCAACACGGGGAGAACATGCAAACTCTAAATAAATAAATAAGTACCAT